CAGCAGGCTATCAATTGCCGGGCCTCCCCCCACTGCCATGTGCTGCTCCTGCCCTCTGTCATGGAGCGGCTCCCGGGAGCCTCCTGCTTGCTGTGCAGTGGGGGGGGGGGAAAGAGGGGTGCTGATGTCAGGGTGTCACCCTCCTGCCGCTCCTGTACCTCATCTTCACAGAGCAGGGGGGAGGGGGGACACGACATGGCTCAAGAGGGAGGGAGCTTGCTGTCTCAACTTGCTGATCTCCTTAAAAAGGCAATGTACTTACAGTGGGGTCAGCACACTTCAAGGGGCAACATGTGTCTCTCTCTCACACACACAGTGTGTCTCTGTCTCTCACACACACACTCACTCACAGTGTCTGTCTCTCACACACATGCCCCCCTCCCCCCGTCACTTTGGAAAGTGGAGGGAGTGGTGCGCTCCCGTGGGATAGCATGGGTTCTTCATCACTGTTCAGTTTCTGCAGGGAATGTTTGCAGCCACTGCCATGCGTCTATTGTGTCTCCTCCCTCCAGTCGTGCTGCCTTGTAGAGTGTGAGGCTACATTAACACAATGTGTTAACCCTTGAGGGCTTAGCCGAGCGCTAGTTCATCACTTAGCAGTAAGGCAGTCCCTGAGAAATATCCCCCCTTCTTACTTCACCATCTCAACCAAGCTTCACAATCATCATTGCTGTGTACAGTATTCAATTGTTTGTTTAAAACTTACTGTGTGTGTATATAAAAAATTTCCCTGGAACCTAACCCCCCTATTTACATTAATTCTTATGGAGAAATTTAATTTGCTTAACATCGTTTCGCTTGAAGTCGCATTTTTCAGGAACATAACTACAACATTAAGCGAGGAGTTACTGTATGTAGCTGCAGAAACAAGACACTTCGCCCCTGGGTCAGAGGATGAGAGAACTACCACCACATGACATAATAGTCATGTCACTTAATGAAGGATTGGAAGGTGCTCTGATACTGCGGTGACAAGCGCTGTATAAGAATTTACATAGAATAGAAGGTTGCCTGGTTAATCTGCCAAGGATGCTCCAGCCAACACTTCACCCGGAATCTCTGTAGTGTGGTGGGGAGGATGTTGGTCTGTAGTAGGAGCTGGTGGAGTCCCCTGGATGTTCTCATCACGGTGCAGTGCCCAGCTGTTGCTGGGGTAAAGTGAGGAAGCTTCTCTTGCTGGTACACGTAGAGTAAGCTGAGGTTGATGCATGATCTTCAGAGCCATCCAGATCTGGGGGCCTTCGCTGCCTGGAGGAACAGCACCTCTCTGTGGTGGTTTGGGATTTCATATTGCAAATCACTTTGCTGCCTTGTTTTACGCAGCTGTAAAGTGCCTGAGCTCAGGGGTGGTGGGAATTAGTGCACTGCTCTGTGTGTTAGTCACCCAGCAAAGCCAGTCCCCTCTAGGGACTGCGAGCCTGAAGCAGACATTGCTGCCTCTGTAGAAGCGGCAGCAAAGAGTCCTCATAGAAACTGCTCCTCACTGAGGGATCTTTGGGTAGGAAACTCCCCTGAGGAGGCATCAGCTGATAGCTTCCAAGGCAGCTCTGGATGAGAGTCCTGACCTTAATGCAGAGGACAGGGGCCAGGCAGAGGGTCCTGTCTTCTGTAAATGTAATCCCCTTCAAACAGCAGCTGGTAGGGCTCAGGTGGGTAGCCAGGACAGAGATGTTGCTCCATGTCACACGGCCTTTCCCTGTTCCAGGGGATCCCACAGTGCCGGTTCTATACCAGGTGGAGCGCACACGCACAGGGAAGAGCTTCTCTGTTCGCTCAGTGAAGGCAATTCAGCATGGGAAGCCAATCCTCATCTGCCAGGCCTCCTTCCAGCAGACCCAGGAAAGCCCCGTTCAGCACCAGTTCACCATGCCCACTGTGCCGCCTCCGGAGGAGCTGCTGACTCAAGAAGAGCTAATTCAGAAATACCTGCAGTGAGTGAATGGAGAGGAAGCGGGGCAGCAGTTTCTGCCCTCATTTGCATGTGTTGGGGAATGGTTGGGGAGAGGCAGCGCTCAGCCTGCTAAGCGGACTCAGCCCAGAGGGAGGGGTCCAGCAGCAGCGGAGGAGAGCGACTGTGATTGTCTGGCAATTGGAAGCTCCCTGAGAGCTCTGCCAGAGCACCTGCGTCCTGGGGCGGTGAGCTGACACTACTGCAGCTGAGGCGGGGATTCCCCGCCAAAGCAGCTGGGCTGCCCTTGCTGGGAATCTAGCACTTGTGTCGTTGTGTTTGTTTTCTAAAGGGATCCCAACTTGGTGGAGAAATACAGGCTGGGACTCAACAAGATTCTGGCCCAGGAGGTGCCAGTTGAGATCAAGCCTGTGAACCCACCAGAGCTATTCTCCCAGCTGTCTCAGGAGCCCAAGCAGCTGTTCTGGGTTCGGGCACGAGGCTACATTGGTAAGTCCTGTGTCAAGGACTAAGTAACTGCTTCTAGCGTGCACCCGCAGGGCATTCCCCATGACCTACTCCAGGCTCCTAGCAAGGTGAGCAGGGAATGGCAGCTAAGAACTCCTGGGGCCTATGCCCAGCTCTGCCACTGACTCATTCTGTGGCCGAGAGCAAGTTCTAGTCAACACTTGCCAGTGTCCCCCTTTAACGTGGGAATAATGATACTGGATTTCATCCTAAGGGCCAAGTGCCGCAATGCAATTGGTAACTGCCGCTACCTTGGCGGAGGTCTGAAGCCCTTTGGCCACGTGTCCAAGATGTAGGTCTGGAGTTTCACAGAGAAGCCTACTCCTGGGGGAATTCTGCACCACTGCGCAGGTGCAGAATTTATGTTCCCTGCAGATTTCTTTGTTTCCCTGCAGAAAAATGACTTTCTGATGGGGAAGCAAAGGGAAGCCACAAGAGTGGTCATGTGACTCTCCCCAGCCGTATGTTTCAAGTGCCCAGGTAAATCACTGTAGGGCAGAGGATGGGACTAGGGATGATCCAGCTGGTGGGCTCAGCTACTAGTCCTAGCTGGGGAGGACAGGACTTCCTCTTCCCCTACACAGCATCCGGGGCCGGGTCAGACCCACTCCCAGATTTCTCCCCCAGGTACAGGCAGCTCTGCAAACTCCCCCCACTGCTTCCTGCACCCCTCTCTTCTCAACTGTAGGGGGTGGGATCCCTGTACAAGGAGATGCTCCCGCATCCGCCCAACCCCCGTGCAGCCAGACACCCTCATTGCCAGACCCTCCCACTCAGCTCCACTCCTCCTGCACCTGGACCACCCTGACGAGCCACACGGATTCCCACCCCACTAAGCCCCAACCAGTTTCAGCTGGATCCCCACGGCACTGAACCCCACTCCCCCAGCACCTGGACCCCCCACTGCTCAGCGCTATCACCCCCACATCCAGACCCACCCTGCTGAGCCCTAACTACCTTCACCTGGACCCCCCCTGCAGAGTCCCATTGCATTCAAAACCCCTCAACAAGCCCCTGTGCATCTAGATCCCCTCTGCATTCAGATCCTGCACTGAGCCACCCGCACCCAGATTGCCCCACAGAACCCTCTCAACCCACACTTGGATCCCCCCACACTAAGCCCCTCCATCTGCCTTGCTGAGCCTGCCTGGCCACACCTGGCATGGAGGGGCAGGCCCGGTCCTTGCGCTGTGTCTGGGTTGGGTGCAGCCTCACCGCTGAGTCCCTGTCCTGGGGGGGGGAGCTGCCAGTGATCTCCCACCTCTCGCTCCCAAGCCAGTGATAGTCTGTGGGCAGAAACGTGTGCACAGCCCCACCGCCTCCCTAACCCAGGATAGGCCGACAGTTCAGGGTGCAGCAGGGACTCGCCTTTTGCAGCTGCTGGCTCAGTCACCGTGTTCTTCAGCTCAGTGGCCAGGTATAGCACAGCATCGGAGGGGGGCCTGGCCCACACTCCTCAGGGGAGCTGGGCCCCAGCAGCTCCACAGACGTGTCCCCAAGGCCCCCGCTCCGCGAGGCGGAGCCCTGTCGGGCCATGCTCATCTGAACTCTAAGGCTGTGGTTCTGGTTGCCTGGCAGGGGAGTGCGATATGAAGCTGCACTGCTGCGTGGCTGCCTACATCTCCGACTACGCCTTCCTGGGCACAGCTCTGCTCCCGCACCGGCAGCATCCTGTCATGTTCATGGTGTCCCTCGACCACTCCATGTGGTTCCACGCCCCCTTCCGAGCTGACCACTGGATGCTGTACGAGTGTGAGAGCCCCTGGGCCGGTAAGTCCTCCCCCTGCTGCAGGTGCTGGGGAGCTGCTGGGCCACAGGGTAACGGCTGCTCTCTCTCCCGGGCAGGTGGGTGCCGAGGGCTGGTGCATGGGCGGCTGTGGCGCAGGGATGGAGTCCTGGCTGTCACCTGCGCACAGGAAGGAGTCATCAGGGTGAAGCAGAGCCCAGCGGAGAGCAAACTGTAGCTGGACAAGTCAGCAGCAGCCACATCCCCCCCTGCTCTGGGGGTGCAGGCTGGGCCCCCGCACAGAGATGGGCTTGAGCAGGATCTGGGGCAGGAGTGGAGAGTGGGAGCCTCAGCACAGCCTGTGACCGCTGGGGGCTGCACCGGAGGGACCACGCAGTCACACACAAGCCGCGGGAATATCAGCTTTATTGACTGTTACTTACAGAGTCCCCTGTCAGATGCTGTCCTCAGCCTCCCCCACCTACCACTAATAAAGTCTCCATGGCCCACCAAGACTCAGTCCCTCCACGGCGTTGATACCTCTGCTCTGCAGCAGCCCCCTGCTCTGGCTATGACCTACGCCGAAGGGAGCCCCCAGTGGGATTGGAGGAGGGGGGAGACCCAGAGGGGCTCTGAGGAGAGCCGAGGGGGCTGGAGCTCAGGCTGCAGGGCGTCTCTGCAGCAGCTTTCTGCCCTGGCAGCTTCCCTTTCTCAGTTCTCCCTGCAGGCCCATGAGGGGCAGGCTTTGAGAGGCCCCAGGGGAGCCCCAGTAGCCTAGCATGGCAAGGCCTGGCGGAGGGGGAGAAGGACTGAGTGTCTTCATGTCTCAGCCAAATTGCAAGGCACCAGGGGGGGGGGTTCTGGGGATCTCTCCTCCCAGCCCCCACTGCTGCCCTGGCCAGGCTGGAGAGCTGCCTCCTTGCAGTGGGGCCGGGGAGGGCTAATCTGAACCCACTCTGGGGGGTCTCGGCCCCTTTTCCTACCAAGTCTTCAAGTTCCCAACGAGAGCCCCAGACTCTGCCTGGAGCCAGCGAATCCCTTTAGTACATACCAGGATGGCCTGGCGAGTTCCAGCAGCTCCCTCCCCTAAGGGCTGAGGGGAGTCGGCCTGGCACCAGGGAGGCTGTGTGCCCAGCCCTGGGAGTCGAGCTGTTTCCAAGAGAACAGGTCAGCGGTACAGAGAGCAGCTCCCAGGACAGGCAGGTGCTGGGCCAGTCCAGGGCCCCGCCCCGCCCCACCCCTCCACCAGCGTCCCGCTCTCCCCGCTGCGCCTTCCAGACACAGCCCTGCCACTGCACACTTAGCCCGACCTGCAGCTCCCCCTCTAGGCCTAGGCTCAAGACACACCCCATCTCTGACCTACAGCCACTGCTGCTCTTCCAGTCCCAATGCACAATGCAGTCTCCTTCCTCGAGACCCACGCTGCTCAGTCCCCACACAGCCCCAGTGCTGGGGGCCTGGGCACTCAGTCCAAAGCCTCCTTGATCAAGAACTCCTTCAGGGTGGGCTGCTGCTGCAGAGCCACCCCCGTTCCTTGCAGCCCCTGCAGCCTGGCCTCCGACTGGCGCTTGTCTTTCCCCACCTTCCAGGACAGGTGGACATGGGCCTGAAGGAAGGGCTCCAGCAAGGGGTGGCTGTCTTGGGCCTCCAGGAGCTCCAGAGCCTGCTCGCAGTAGCGATGAGCCTCACTCAGCTCATCCAGCTCCTGGTGGCAAACCACCAGACCAGCCAGAGTGAGGAGGAAGCGGCCCGACTTGCAGGCGCCCAGCTTGTCCTGGAGCCGGTAGGCGTTGCTCCAGGTGGCCAGGGCCTCGCGGTACATGCCGGTGCAGGTGAGGCGCTGCGCTGCCTGCAGGTCGCGCAGGAAGAAGAACTCCAGGAAGTCGGAGGAGCAGCGGATCTCGGTGATGGAGTGCAGGTGGGACAGGAACTGCTCAAAGGCCCGGCTCCGCTTGGCGATGGTTTCTGCCGTGAAGTTCCTGCGCAGCCTCTTCCTGGGGAAGGAGACGCCCGCCATGTCGCAGCCGAACTGGTGGCGCAGGCGCCGGTTCAGTCTCTCAAAGTCCGAGTAGCGCCGGGCAATGGCAGCAGGGGCCTTGTCAAACTGGCCGGAGCGGATCAGGTAGATGGTGTAGAGCTGTGGGGAGAGCAGAGCCGTGAGGGTGCACAGGGTCTGCCTGCCCCCGCCCGGGACTCGGCCCCCTGGGGACAGCAGCTCAGCGAACCGATCACACCTGTGTGCACATGCTGGGGATGGGGACAGGCAGCAGAGACCCGCTGGTGGCTCTGCCTGCGGAGAAGGGAAGGGTTGGCAGAAGCAGGGGGAGGAGAGCAGGCTGGGGAACAGCAGCAATACTTACCTGAGGCTCGTCTGAGCCACCAGCGCCATCGGAGCAGCACAGGGAGAGACAGAGACAAGAATCAGCTCCAGCCCCCCCGCTCGCCCTCCCTCCCGCTCCGCCCCCAGGGCAGCACACTCCCAAGGGTCTTGGGACCCAAGCACTTCTCCCTTTGCGGGAGGAGCGGGGAGCATCCAGCACCCCGCAGGATTGGGCAGCCTGTACCCCATCACCCCCTGCAGAGTCCCAGCCTGGCCCCCCCTGGGAGATGTCACTCACCACATATTTGGAGGAGCGCTCACTGACAACGCTGGTGCTGGTGACCTCGAAGAGCAGCCGCTGGGGAACGAAGCTGCTGCGTGATCTCCTCCAGAAGTCCTGGAGCTGGCGTGTCAGGAGGTTACTGCCCTGGCGCTCAGCTGGAGCGGGGCTCGGATCTGCACCGGAGACAAGCCAAGCACTCACCGTGCAGGCCGGCGCAGGCCAGCCACACTGGTTAAGGGAGGGAGAGAACTCGCCTCCAGTGGCCCAGGGCCCAGGCTCCCCTCCTGCAGAGAGAGGCCTGGGGAGTGCAGGGCTCCCTGTTTGGTGCAGGCGCGTGCAGTCCATTGGCCCTGGCCCCTCGTGCCAACCCACGTCACATACGTGTCACATTGGTGCTTTCTCCTATGCTGCCCTCACCCTTCGGAGCAGCCCCTCCCTTCCTCCTTCCCAGGTGCATTGCTGTGAGGCCTACAACCAACCTGAGCCCACTGCCCATCAGGCTGGCCTGGATTGTCTCATTGGTTCCTTGTGCTCCCCCGCCAGCTGTTGTCTCCTCTTGCACTCAGACTGGAAGCTCCTTGGGGCTGCCTTTGCCCTGGGTTTGTACAGCACCTAGCACCAGGGGGCCGTGGCTGGGCCTCACAAGCACTACTGGAATAAAAGAGCCTCCATCCCCACCCCAGCAGAAAAGGATCTTGGCTAGGCCAGCACCCGCACCCCAGACTCTAGTAAATAGGGGACCCGGCACCTGCCTCCATTCTCCATGGCTCCAGGGTTCTTGGGCAGCCCCAGCTCACACAGATCCCCCAGCTCCTGGCTAGCAGCATCCCCCTCCTCCTCTGCCGCCTCCTCCTCATTACTGGTGAAGCTCAGGGTGCCGCTGAGCCGCGTGGACAGCCCCTCAGTGTCATCCTCCAGTTCGGAGCTCTCTGGGAATTCCTCCACCTCTGAGCCGCCTCCGCCCTGTCCCTCCAGGTCACCCTCGCCCTCTCCAGCCAGGGCGTGCCGCAGGCGGTGCAGGAGGCGGGAGGCCATCGGGCTCAGCTCAGCAGCTGCAGGAGGAGAGGCTGGTCAGGAAGGGGGGCAATGAACCTGGGCTGAGCCTGGCTTTGCACAGAGAGCAGGCGCTGCGTGGGAGCAGGCGCTTGCACCCAGATGGGGCAGGGAGAAGGGAAATGGGGCTTTAGGTGCTGAGAACAGGGTGAGCAGTCAGAGCTGGGGGCGGGGAGCAATTCTGCACCTGCCCCAGTCCAGGGAGACCCCAGAGGAGGGGGGCACAGGCTGAGCGATGGGGGGGGGGTTAGGGTCAAGGCGGAGGCCAGGGTTCGGGAGGGGGACAGGGGCAGTCGGGAGCTTCCCAATCAGCCGCTCCAAGCGCTTTGTGGTTTTCGCTACAAACTTGCAGGGAAACGAGGCCCCAGGACACAGACGCTCCCTCCGGCACAGAGCCTGCCCCCAGCCTCAGCGGGGTCGCTGCCCCCTCTGCTTGCCTTGCACCCGCCAGGAGCTGCCAGGCTGCGGGGGCAGCGAGCGCAGTACCCCATGGAGGGAGCGGGGGCCAATGGGGAGGGGGCAGGAGCAGTTGGGGTCAATAGGGGGCAGGGGGCAATCAGAGACGGCACAGCCAACTAGGAGGTTAATGGGGCAGGGGCGGCTGGGGGTCAGTGGGGCAGCTGGGGGTCAATGGGGAGGGGGCGGCGGCTGGGGGTCAGTGGGGGCCGGGCAGCCCGCGGGAACGCAGGGGCGGGCGGCCGGGCCGCACTATCCCGGAGCCGCTCCCCGGCCCCCCGAGCTGCTCACCGGGGCCGCGGTCCAGGCTGCGATGGCCGCTCAGCCGCGGCTCCTCCTTGGATCCTCCCTGCCGCAGCTCCGCCTCCGCCCGGGAACCCGGATCCTGCCCGGGGCTGGCTGATCCCGACCGGGCTCCCTTCTGTGCGCGGTGCCTCGTCTAGATCCGCCTCCGCCGCCCAATCCGGAGTTAATCCTGAGCCACACAGCAGCACCCAACCAATCCGGATCCATCCCTCTCTCCCACTCTGGATATCCCGGAACCCCGTGAGGAGAGCACCCAACTGCAACAGCCTTCTCCTCCCCGGCCGCCGACCACCCAGCCAATCCAGAGTCAATCCAGATCGAACCCAGTGTGTGGATTCAATGCTCCATGCCCAAGATCTGGATCCAGCCCCAGGGGCTCTCTACACACACCCCTAACCCGGATCAAAGTATCCCTGAGCGCCCAGCACCGAATCAGAACCAGCCCAGGTTTGTAGCCCCCCAGGGTGGGTTTATCTACCAACTGCCCAGTCCAAACCTCTCAGGGAGCTCCACACACCGGGGTCTCAGCCCTGGGACCCCCCCCCCCCACTCTCCCCACAGGGACGTGAATGTTTCAGTACTTGGCATGAGCAGCTGGCAGTGTGAGGGCAAGTGCCCAGGGGTCAGGCAGACATACTGTCCTGGGGCCACGCTCACCCCCCATTCCTGGGGCCCACAGGCCTTCAGGAGCCCCATGGGTCCTGTCCCTGGCATGGGTGAGAAGCTGCTGGCTCCCCAGGGCTCTGCGTCTCTCCAAACTGGGAAGTCGGCCACAGCCTGGGCATCCTTCCCAGCCCCAGCCTGGGCCCAGCTGCTTCCCTTCCTTATTTAGAGAGAGGCGCCCGCTCCCGCCTCACAGCTTTTCTTAGGAATGTCTATTAATATCAGAGGGAGCCCAGCCCAGCTGCTCCCATCAGTCGGAGCTGGGCCCAGTGTGCCCCCGGGCTCTGTCCCCACTCCTGCCTCCTTGGGCTCTGGCTTCAGCGGCCACCCAGGGCTGAAGGAGGCTCAGCCCCGAGGCAGCATCTACCCTAAAGCCTGAGAACCACTGCTGGTTTGAGAGGTCGTGGAGCCACCTTTCCCTCCCTCCCGCGCCCTTCTCTGCCCTTAGCAGGGTGGGGCCCTAGGCAATGGGACAGCGCAAACTGGCCCCCGGCTCCACTAACTCGGCAGGGATCAAGCACAGGTTCCATGTCAGACGCAGGTTGATTTACATCAGGGGGAAGCTCTGTGCCCTCCCCCAGGAACCACGGGGGCTTTGTGCATGCAAAGGGGGGATGGGGAGCGGGAACAGAGGGAAGGGGGATGGACTCTCACTGATGACGACCCTGCTTCCAGAGTAACACACTTGTTGATGCCCAAAGCGTCACACACCTGGACACTGACTGTGCCGGTTCCCAGCCTTGCAGTGTCCCTGGATGTTCCCCTCAGCCAGTGGCCAGCACGGACCCTTTCTGCCCCCTCCACTCTCAGTTATGGCTGTAAACATGGCATCCAAGCCAGGGTCTGGAATGGCCTGGCTAGGGCAGTCCCATGGGCCCCCAGGGCTGGAGTGGGACTGAGGTTCCCCTTCTTTTGCTATTGCTGTGTTCCCAAGGACAGCACCCTTCCCTAGATCCCAGATGGGTGGGGAACACGATCCCCATGTAAACAGGGGAGTGATGACAGGAGACCTCCAGAGGGTGCCAGGAATCTGAGCCTCCATGCAGGACAGGGCTATCTAGCCGGGGCTCCCAGCCTCTCTCCAGCGGCTCCCCTCCCCCAGCAAACCTGCACATGGGGAGACATGTCCTGCCCTCCCCTCTGGCCTGTGCCTCTGCCCCTCCTGGAGAAAGGATGGGGAAGATGTTGTGAATGCAGCTCCCTGCGTGGATGAGAAAATCCAGGCCTGGCTCGTCTCCCCAGGGCCGTGCCCAGCTCCCAGGCTCAGCTGTGGAGTGGATGGGCTTGGCAAGGCCAGAAGCAAGCCTAGGATCTGGTAGTCCCATGGCACCCTCCTCCCCTCCTTGGGCTGAGCCCTGGGCACCTTGCTGGCACTTGCCATCCATGGTGCTGTGACAGCGCCTTCAGGCACAGCTAGTGCTCCAGCAGTACCCAGTGCGAGGCAGGTGTCATGCCCGGCCCTTCGGCCACCATGCTGGGGCCTCCTGGAGTCGCGCTGGTCCCCCCCCCTTTCTCCATGCCAGTCTTCTCAGTGCAGGGCGTTCCACTCCCCGGGCGCAGAGCCAGGTGGTTCCTGCTGCTCCTGGTGCTCTCCGGCTGGAGGCTTCTTGGGGTGAGATGTTTGGCGGACAGTCAGGACGGGCTCTGGCCCCAGCCTGAGGGGCCAGTTACAGGAATGCAGGAAAGGGAGCCATGGGGCTGAGGAAGTGCTGGAGCTGGGGAAAGACAAGACAATGCAGGGACATCTGAGAACTGGGGGATGAGGGGACTAGACAGCGGTGACTCCAGGCACCAGTGCTCCAAGCGCGTGCCTGGGGTGGCAAGCCGCGGGGGGCGCCCTACAAGGGCGGCAGTCAGGCAGCCTTCGGCGGCATGCCTGCAGGAGGTCCGCCGGTCCCGTGGATTCGGCGGCAATTCGGCGGCGGGTACGCCGAAGCCGCGGGACCGGGGACCTCCCGCAGGCATGCAGCCAAAGGCAGCCTCCCTGCCATGCTTGGGGTGGCAAAAAAGCTAGAGCCGCACCTGGGGCTAGAAACAAGGAATGAACTCAGCCCCCCAAATAGCTGTAGACACTGGCTGGCAGGGACCCCAGATCATCTGGAAAGAGGGATAAAGACGCCGAGCCGCATGTCCCGGCTGGGCTGGAGATGAGCCAGCCATGGGACAGTGGCACCTAGGAAAGGAGGCGGGCTGAAGGCTGGGCAGGGGCAGGGGCAGAGCGCGTGGCGTGGCGTGATTTGCCCTGGTGCGGAACGGCTACTTCTGCCACTCGGGGGCCTGGAGCTCACAGAGGTTCCTCAGCTTATAGCACAAAAGCAGGAGACGTTCTCGGCCTGGGACTACCCTATCCATCCTCCTTCCCCCATTCTACCTCACCTTCCCCTGCCCCACCCCTCTGTCCTCCCCAGCCCAGCCCCAGCCCCAGCCTGGGGGCCCATATGGAAGTCACCCTCCTTGCCGTGCTGAAGGCAATAGGTCGGTCCCCCCCTCACCCCCTCTTTCTCGGGGGCCGTGGGCTCTTCCTTGGCAGGCTGGCCGGCCCCGGCCCCCGGACGCCAGCTGGCTCTAGCTGGAGCCCTCTCCCTCCTGGGCCAGCCCACGGCAGGTGCTCAGCCGATGCGGGAGGGAGGAGCCGTGTCTCCAGTGTCCTGCTCCCTGGAGGGGTCGAATTCCTTGCGTGACTCCCTGACCTGCTCGTAATCCTCACGGCTCGGCCAATAAAGCTTTTGCTAAATTAGGTAAAATGGCCCTGCCACCAATCAGGGGGCGAGGGCTAATGGGAGGCAGCTGATAGGCTGTTGCGAGAGCGGCACCTGGTGACACCCAATGGCGTGGTGCTGGGAGGCAGCGTGCTGGTCGAGGACAGTACAAATTGGGGGGCCAGGGGCGGAGGGGAAGCTCCTGGGGTCTGTGTGTTGCAGGTCACGGTGACTCTGGTGTGTGGGCACTGCGGGGTGACCAGCCAACATGGTAAGAGCCTGTGCGGGAACAGCCTGGGGCCAGGGCCGGCCGGAGGCCCCCGCTACAGCAGTGGCCAAGGGCTTGTGCTCGCAGAGTCTGACGTCGGGGAGCAGGAGCCGGGCTGGACTGTGGGGGCACGTGTGCGTGGTGCAGGCGTGTTCCCCCGGTGGGAGATGGCCAGCTCAGGCCCATTGGAGAGGCTGGCACAGGAGCCATGGGACGGTCAGGTCCTGCAGGGCAGAGGTTATGCTTCAGGAGGAGCCACTGCCCACGGGAACGTGCACGCGGGCGACAGCGCTGAGCACAGGGCGGCTCCTGATCAGAGCGTTAGCAGGGGTGAAGTCGGTTGGGCTGGTTGTATGAGATGAAGGAGGATCGGGGCTGCAGGGCCAAGGTCCCTGCGGGGTGTGTGTGTGTGTGGGGGGGGGTGTTGGGGCATTCAGGAAAACGAGATGATGATGTTGCGATTTGCAGATTTGTCCCATGCTGTGCCCCCCCCCCCGAATGGCACCGACCCAGGGGTGTGGAACAGGGCACAGGTACTAAGGGGCCAGGAGGGCTGGGTGAGGAATGGGCAGGGGCTGCTCTCATCTCACTCAGCTGGGAGAGGAAGCCCTGAGGCAGCCCCTGTCCTGCACAGGGATCCTGGTGTCCTGGCATCCACTGGGGTGGGGCAGTGCTGCACTGGGGGGCAGGAGGCTGCGTCTCGACTCCAAGGAAGCGGAGGTCTGGCTGGGATTCAGGAGCAGCATTGAGCACAGGCTGGCCAGTAAGCTGAGCTCTGGGTCATAAGACACCCGTCTGCAGGCCCGCAAGCTCCCGCCAGCTGCCTGGGCCTGGCCCTCAAGGAGTAACTCAATCCGATTCCAACAGGTGCGTGGGCCTGGCGTCCCGCTGCTCCCCTACAAGGGAGCAGAGTCTCTGCTAAGAATAGCCGCGCACGTCCGGGGCGGGGAACGCCCAGCACGCAGGTCCTGCTGCAGGTGTCGATGGAGCAGCCTGGCCTGGGCTAGTGACCGGGCACCCAGCAGAGCTGGGAGCCGGGCGCTCAGGCTAATGCCCAGCCTCAAGGCTGCGCCCCCCAATCCCAATGACCCAGAGAGGGAGAGGCGTCCGGGGTGGGTGGGGGGATGACCATGTGCAGCAGCAGGGCAGAGGATTGTGGGAAGTGGGGGAGCTGAGCCTGAGGGCAGGTCATGGCAGGGAGGGACCCGGGTTCCAGCAGCAGCAACTGGCCATGAGTGGCCTGTTTACACAGGCGCCTCCCCGCGGCCTGCAGGATCTCGGAGCCAGCCACAGAGCTCACAGGACGCTTGGCAGGTCAGACGGGGCCTCCCCGCGGGGGTTGGCTGGGGACCTCCCGGGATGGTGCACAGCCGACAGCGCTTGTGAAGTGCTGATAGTCTGTGTCGATCACATATGTAACCCGCCCACACCTGCCTTTCCCTGGCCCACGCCCTGCACCCAGGGCCATGGGATGCCCAGGGGCCATGGTGGGCAGTGGCCCGGGTGGCAG